GTTTGTGAAGAGCAGCCAAGGGTGATTCAGGCTCTTCTTGGTGGTTTTTTATCATTGGCCTGTTGGTGGAGAAGGAGGTAGTGGCTCTCACTCAGTAAGTAAACTTGCAGGAGGTATGGGTGTAATTGTGTCTTATGGGGACCGTTGTTGTCTCCCACTCAGTTAGACATAAATTACAATCGAATAACCATCAAAAAACTAAAAGCACATGGACAAAAAACACACCATGTAATCACACAGAAACAGTAGCCAAAAAAAGAAAAAAAGGAAAAAGAAGAAGAAAAAAATAAGAAAACCTGCAATATCTGGGGATAGGGCACTAAGAGAAAAAAAAGTAGAGAAGGAGAATAATGAAGAAAAAAATGGGGAAAATGCAAAAAGAAAAACAAGGAATGGGGTTAACTGTGAGAAAAAAGGGGAAAAAAAAAAGAAAAAACCTTAAATTTAAAAAAAAAAAAATCAACCAGGAACAGGGAAAAGAAAAAAAATGCTGAAACTAGGACATGGGAGGGGAAGATTAAGAAGAATAATAAAAAGGAAAAAATTGTTAATAATAATAGTTGTTTTAAAACAGACAAATACAAGCAAACTAATCACCAGGGGGGAAAAAAAGCAAAAAAGAACAAGGAAAAAAAAAAGAATCGGTGGAGGACAGGGCAGGGCACCCAGGATCCGTCTGAGCACACAGACTGTGATGGAGTTCCTGTGGGCCCAGAAGGTAGGTGGGAATGGGGAATGGCCACACCTCCATTCACCAAGCGGGTGTGGGGTATAAGAGTAACAAGAGGAATGTCGTACCTTTTCAGTCTTGTGGGGTCCAGAGTGTCCTTGAGGTTACTGGAAAGCAGAACGTGTTCTTACACCCCAGGAATCTGCCAGAGCGCTGTCTCTTTAAATATCCAAAATAGTCAAACCGCTTTTAAACCTTTAAAATGGCTACAGCCTCTGGACTGGCAAAAGTCCACAGCTCAGCCCACCTTTCTCTTCATCTTCTCCGTTTATTCCCCAGCCACCGGAGCAGTCCTCTGTGCAGTCCCTGGCTAGTAGGGTTGATATTTTGGTTAATCCTTAGGTCCTACCAGCACTCGGGAATCTCCAAGCTGTCTGTACCGTCAGGATCACTCAGGATCGCTGCCAGACCGCAGCTCCGTATGTCTCCTTTTTCGGTATTTTCACAAAAATTCTTCTGCTAGTTGGGGTTTAGTCCACTTTTATATCCTTCCCTTCAAGGCTCAGGGGTCCAGGATTATCTTCTGTGTCTGTGTTAATTGGTTTTCCTTTTCTTTGTTGAAGAGGGTCTGAGCAGTCTTTCTGCCTAGTCAGCCATCTTGCCAGTCTCCAAGTTGTTAAACTTCTTAAGGAGAAAGAGCTTTTGCCTTTTCTGTGTACTTGAGAAGGACTTAAATCAGGATTGAGGCAAGAAGGGAAGAAAATACTTGGCTTATGTGCCATTGGGGACATTTGCTTCCTGAGATTATAACTGGGAAAACCTTTGAATCCAGATCTAGAAATGGGTGCCACTTACCAAGCACTCCCAAAGCCAGGCCTCCCAGGGCTATTCCCATAGCACGTCCCCTCTCATAGTCATCAGTGTAGACACTTGCCAGCATCCCAAGACCTGAAACGAGAGGCAAATGGAGTTAACATATGGGAACTCTTTATCTGCCTGTCTGACAGAATCCTTGGTCTCTGTCCTGTTGTATCTTTATGGATAAACTTAATTAGGTTTCCATTTGAGGGGTTTTACAAAATCTTACCTAGAGTATTTTACACCTATGATCCCCTTCAGTTCCTCACACTCTCTCATTGCTCCTCCTTCTGATCAGAGTATTGACGGACTTGTTTGTTGTTGTTGTTGTTTGCCGTCGAGTCGCCCCCGACTCATAGCGACCCCTCCTTGGGTTTCCGAGGCAGTATCACTACGGAAGTAGGATTGCCCAACCTTCCTTCCGAGGAGTGGCTGGTGGGTTTGAACCGCCCGCCTTCTGGTTAGCAGTCAAGTGCCTTAGGCACTATGCTACCAGAGCTGAGAAGTGTAATACAGAATGCCATTGTCCAATTGCAATGCATTTTATACCACTTTATCATTTCCCTAGCACATTTTTCTTAAAAAATGGATTAGGGGGTGAGTCAAGGAATGAAAAAGTTGTGAACACACAGCACTGCTCTTTCTATTTAACAGGGATGCCCAAGGAACAGCATGAAAACCACTGATTACCTCGAAGAGAACACGGGCTGGATGATGAAATGCCACTGTGATATACTAGAGAGTAAAAGACCCCTTACTATCAAATAGCTGTGTCATTTTAGCCTTTTAAACTTTCTCAGATTCATTTATCCTGGTATAAAACATACTTCATGAGATTAAATCCAATAATGTATGTGGCAATACTTTGCAAACTGTATTGATATAACTAGTAGTACTATCATTGCTTTTTCTATGAAATATTAAGTATAGGGGGAAGGGCAGCTCTTGTGGCGTAGTGCCTAAGGCTTTTGACTGCTAACTAGAAGGCTGGTGGCCCAAACCCATCAGCCCCTCCTCAGAAGGAAGATTGGGCAATCTACTTCCATGGAGACACCGCCTCAGAAACCCAAGGAGGGGTCGCTATGAGTCGGATCCGACTCGATGGCAGTGAGTTTGGTTTGGTTTTTGAGACGGGGAAAGAGCATAGAGCAATACTAAATAATAGCCTGGCCAGCTTCACTGCTAGCTTTGCTACTGTCTGAGCTAGCTGCATCTGAGTACTATCAGAGGAAGGTATGTCAGGCTTAGCGATTTATAGGCCCTGTCAGCAACTCTGCTATTACCTCATTTCTGAGTCGTAAATTCTACCTACTAGAATGATGTTTTCCTTAATGTCCTCAAATTCATCTTAGAGGGTCTGAAGGTAGATTTTGGCAAGAGCTGTGTATATGTGTGCATATGTTTATTTGGAAGATATCAGAGTTACCTGCAACAGATGAAAATGAAGATCCAATGCCTTGAAGAGTTCGGGCCACAAAGAGCAGAGTATAGGTGCCAGAAAAAGCAAACACTGAGCAAAGAGTACAAATGCATAAGTTAACACATTACCTTAGATCCTCCAACCACCAGAAAACATGCCCATTATGTTACAGATATGATCCATTATGCATATATTTGAATAAGGCATGATGCCTGCTCCTTGTTTTTGGTATTCTTTGTAATCTTCTACACCCCAGTCAGGAGTGCTTTGTAAATGGCCTGAAGACTGAGAAACCACTGAAGCAAAAACCAAGTCACCATAGAGTGGATGGAAGGCTAGGTTTTCCCATTTTCTTTGCCATGAGCCCAACATCTTGTCCACTGGAGTTAGGATTGTCCACAAAGTTCAGTGTCCTGGGCTGGGAACTGGTCCTTAGAGTCTACTCTAGTATCCTCCATATGCAGCACACAGATTTGGCCTTTGTTGTTATTATGCTCCATGTGGGACATCTGACGTATGGGAACAATGAGCCATGAGACTTCAAGGGCCATAAGCATAGGATAGAAAATAATATCTTGTGATCCAATCAGACTCTTCCCCTTACTTTATATCAGAAGATCTTTTAGCCAGATCAAATCAGTGAATCTATTTATAAGTAACTGGTCCAACTTGACGGCAAACAACAACAAAGAACAACTGAGTGTGCAGCTTTGATAATGCTTTGTATAGAAGATGTAAAATAAAGAGAACATCTAGTTCATACCTTGGAAGAGTTTTAGGCTATTGGAGACTAACATACATGAAACTAAGAAGCAAAAAAGAATCTGTTATCAAGAACTAAATTACAGGGTGCTGGTGGCAAGAGCTTCAGTCTAGACACGTCTCACCTCCAATTCCAGAACAATATATCCTAAAGAGAGAAGACTCACTCCCAAAGTGTCTGAATCAGCAGAAGTTTAATACCTTTGCTCATTCATTATAAATGTCTCTTGGTTGTGCTTATAATCTTATTCCATTATTTCCCAACATGAACACACTGACCTCCTCATTGTTCCCCAAACATGCATATTCTTGGTCTCTCATTGTCTGGCCTCCAATACCTCTCTCAATCTTTCTGATTTCCAATCTGTTCAAGGTCTACTATTGTTATATCCTTTGAGAATAGGGTGACCAACTTGTTCCAGTTTGCTCAAGAACTCCTCAGTTTTAAAACCAAAAATTCCACATCCTAGGAAGCCCCTCAGGCCCAGGCAAACTGAGATGGTTGGTCACCCTATTTAGGAAGTTCAAAGGGATTTCCTTTACACTTTGCACCCCTAATGTGGGTCACCATTTATCTCCTAATTTCACCAAACATTATTCCCAGCTGGGGTACCTTATAGGTAGTATCAGGCACCAGTAACTATATATACATACATATATATATA